AAAAAAAAAAAAACAGAAAAAAAAAAAAAAAAAAACCAAAAAAAAAAAAACAAAAAATTTAAAAAAAAAAAAAAAAAAAAAAAAGAAAATTGCCTGAGATTATAGGGAGGGGCTTAGTCCTATGTACAGGCTACTATGAATCGTAATATATTATGCCAGCCCTGAAACAGTTAACTTCCTTCATGACCCAAATCTTCATTTCTAACAGTTATTATTTCTGTATGAAATTTTGATAATGCCATTAAAAAATAAAGTAGCATTTTTTGAATTCTTGCTGAGATGGATTGTAAGGGGTCTGTTTCTCACATGTACATACCCCTCCCCAAAAGAGAAGAAGAAAGAAAAGAAAAACAATACTTTTTGTAAATGTATAGGATATTACTAGAAGAACTGAAAAGAAATTGGTAACAGTGGTTCCTCTGGAAAGGGTGTACTTGTTAGCAGTGCACAGGTATAGGAAGGTGGCTAATTTAATTGTATATCTCCTTTAGTATCTTTTGAATTCTATATTCTACCAGTATAATTCTATAGCTAGATATGTATTATCTATTCTAAAAATTGAAAGTTTTAAATTAGTAATCTCAGCCCCCAATACAACTATTTTATCTGTGTGTCACTTTCTCTTTTCTTGTCTACAGGCAGATTTTTTTTCCCTGGTGATACAAAAAATACTTGTCCATCGTATAAAACACTTGGAAAATAAAGCCTAGTTGGGAGTAGGCACTAAAAAGCCCCTGAATACTTCTATCCAGAAAACCACTTTGCTCTATTTCCCGCCTATATATAGCTTTTACATGGTTGAGATCATATATTTTATTACCATTTTATATTTTAATGGTTATAGAGTATTTATTTCATTGACTGGAAATATAGTAATGTTTAAAATTCCTCTACCATTGAATATTTAACTAGTTACTGGATTTTTACTATAATCACACAATGAGTATTATGAGGCATGGAGCATTTCATTTCTATTGAAGATTTTCCTTAGAATTACTTCTTAGCATAAAGCTACCGATCAAAATATTTGACTATATGTGTGACTTTTATAACAGAGTACAATTTCACTTTCCAAAGAATTATATCAGCTTAATCTACTATCCAGTGTGAGTGAACCACTTCATTATAACCACTCCAGCATTGGATGCTGTTTTAAAATTTATGACCAGTTTACTAGGTGTAAAATGGTAAAATGCTTTGACGTGACTTTTATGTTGCTGTTACTATCCTTGTCCTATGTTTGGCTGTTGTTTTGTTTACTATAGGGATCTGCAAAGACTTGGAGAACTTCAGTCTGAATTGGCAGGAGTAGCTGACTTCTCGGCTGCCTATCTTCGGTGTCAACTTCTTCTCATCAAGGTTGGTTTGGACCAGTGGTTCTCAACCTTCTGGCCCTTTAAATACAGTTCCTCATGTTGTGACCCAACCATAAAATTATTTCCATGGCTACTTCATAACTGTAATGTTGCTACTGTTATGAATTGTAATGTAAATATCTGATATGCAGGATGGTCTTAAACGACCCCTGTGAAAGGGTCGTTTGACCGCCAAAGAGGTCGCGAACCACAGGTTGAGAACCGTTGGTTTGGACTCATTGTACTTTTGAGTGTGATGCTAAGAATACACTTTAACAGATCTGGCAGAGTTTGAGGCCATAATTGGAAAAATATATGGCCTTCTGCAGCCACAGCAATGGAGAATTATGTATTCTGTGGTGTAATTGTATTTGGCTCTAATTAAATAATTGTTAACTCTAATAGAAATTTGAATTTTTAAAATTTGGTAGCATTCTTTCATCATTATGTAATTAGAGCAGATCAGGTGCATAATCATTTTCTTTAGAATCCCAAGGATTTTCATTGTTTTTTAATACTTTGATTAGCAAAGAACTTATATGAACTTTTATTTTCATAATTTCACTTCATCAAAGTAAAATTAGTCAGAGGTTGATTTCATTGCTCTTAAAAAGGCCAACTTGCTGGCATTTCATATAAGGTAGATGATATATACGTGTATATATACTATATATATTCACACAAAATTTGTACTCATGAAACTGTTTCAGTTGGCAGAATTGGAAACCAATTAAATGAGTTCAGTAGCTTTCAGCTTCTGCAGCAGAATGCCGAATTCTGCTGTAAATTTAAACTTAGGATTTAGGAGAGCCCTTCTTACCTGATAAGCCTTTATCTTGGCTTCAGTTCCAAATGTTAGTCTTTAAAGAGATTAATGATATTTATTTAAAGTCAGAACAAATGGAAAAGTTTCTTATTTCCCATTGTAAGATGTGTGAGCTTAGGGTTTTGCAAGTTTGTGTGTGTATATATATATATATATATATATATATATAT